AGTTCCAAGCATAGCCCCAACTAGCAATCTGGATATCATAACCTTAATTCATTAGTGGCTTATGAACTAACTCTAACTCAAAGTGATGTTTAATGATCCCCGTTAATGACCTTAACCCAACTCGAGCTCTCAGAAGGAATATGCATTTCCAAAATGTTTTTCTTAGTTTTCTCCCTGGGAATCCCATCAGAGGATAACTCCCTATATCCCAATGCGCTACTCCTCATTATGTTTGTCAATAAAGCATCTTTATATGTTCTATCATCCCTTAAACTCCTGCTAGAATCATCCCTCTGTTTAGACTTTGAAGTTTCTACTGGACTCGGATTTGGAACCGTCTTCAATGGACTATTCTTCTCCGCTATCCTTGAATGAACATCCCTATATCGTACAACTCCAACTGTAATCCTTCTCCCTTCTATCAATGAACCATTTAAATTAACTATTACCCTTTTCAAACCTGCTTCACTTCCAAACTGCACAAAAGCAAAGGTGAAGAATTTGTATTTTGGGTTTCTTGTTTCTTTTAAAATAAAAACTCTCTCAACAGGTCCCTGAGATAAAAACAATTCCGTTAACGCACATCGTGACAATCTCATGCTGAGATTATCCACAAAAGCCTTCCAGACCTCATCAGAATATACCTTTCCTTTCAACTTTTCTCTCTCATGTTTTAAGTTTTGTTTGTCTATTATATTTATCTTTAGATTCTAAAAAAGTTATGCATTGTCTTAACCTTCTTCAGAGAACTTTAGAAAGGATCTTGTACATACCCCTACTAAACTAATAGGTCTTTAGTCCTCCAAGCTTTTTGGGTTGATTTTCTTAGTAATAAGAGTTTTGAAAGCGTGATTGATATCGTTCTCCCACCTCTTCCCCGAGAAGAAGTGTTTAAAGAACTTTAGAATGTCTTCTTTGAGACTTGACCAAATTATTTTTAAAGAAACCAATATTTAGACTGTCTGGACCTGGGGCTTTGGAGCTGTTTGAGGAATCAATTGCTTTCCAAATCTCCTCCTCCGCAAATTCTCTTTCCAGGAAAGAAGTATGCTCTTTGGATAATTTCGAAAAAGTTAGGTATATTTTATTGACTTCTAATGTTGGTTTCAAGTTGTAAGCTTCTTGGAAATAATCATGAACTCAATCTTTGATTTAGGGAGGCTCATTAACAATACTTCCATTGACTCTCAACGACTTAATAGCATTCACCCTTCTTCGATTTGAGACACAAATATGAAAATACCTTGAGTTGCGATCTCCATCTTTGATCCATCTAGTTCTCAACTTTTGGTGCCATATTTGCTCTTCAATTTTGCATAGATTCCACAATTCTTTCCTGTGAACAACCAAGGAGTCAATCAAAGCATGAGAAGGGGGATTCTGTTGCTACTCAATTTCTAAGTCATGAATTTTCTTCTCTAATACTGTTATTGATTCAGACAGATTCTGTTATCGGTTCCTTGACCATTTTTTAATGGCCTCCTTGAAGCCTTTTTAGAATACTCAAGATGCCCAACCTTATATTACCTATTTTGAGCTCCTAGATGGTCGATTCTATCATCCCATCAAAACTTTCTTCCATCATGTAATTAAAAAGCTTGAAAAGTCTGGGCCCTTAATTGTAGCCACGGTTCTTCAGTAGTACTGCGCTGTGATTCGAGAGGGATTTTGGAAGAAGGCTTTGTGATAAGTCTGGAAACGCAACTAAGAAACCAACATCCACCAAGAATTTATCAAGCCTAACATGGGTCGGACTATCTCTATTATTGCACCAATTGTATCGACCTCCAATTAGAGGTAAATCAATGAGTCTGGTCTGTTGACAAAAGCTCTGAAAATTTCGATTTTATTCAAATTTTGAGACCTACCCTCCTCTTTGGACGAAAGATAAGCATTGAAATCACCTCCCAAGCACAAAGGAATTCTCAGATTCTCCAGATTCTCCAACTATGACAAGAGTTCTTCAAAAAGGCCTTCTTTATCAGCTTCTTAACAGACTCATAAACATTAAAAAACCGACACTGGCATTGATTCTCTTTTAACTTCCCTATGATAGCAATGAATATGCTGTGATTGAACTTATCCGTAACTTCAAAGATGTTTTCATCCCAAAGACTAATTAGACCTCCCGCAGACCCCGCAGCAGGAGAAAAATCATGTCCTTGCAGAACTTTCCCCCTTTCTTTCCTCAGTTGAGATGGCCTTAGAGTGTCCATCTAAGTTTCCTGTAGGAAAAGAAAGGTTGATTTTTTGTTTGCTAATAACCTCCGAATTGTTCTCTGTTTCTCCTTCCTCTCTAGGCCTCTGATATTCCAAGAAATGAATGAAACTTTCAACATCAATAATCGAAGACACCCATTGCTAGGAAAAGGAATTATCTTCCTGCTTCCCTATCCTTATTCTTCTCTAGATTGATTATTTTGTCTATCAAAATCTGCTTTCCTCCCTTAAAAGATATTCCCAGCATCTTGCTCACTTCCCAAGTGGCCAAAGCTTCATCAATGTACTTAGAGAACGTAGGGGAAGAAGCTGTAGAGGTACTAACCCGATCCAAGGATTCCACAATCAAGTTTCTTTTGGTTATTCTGTACACCTTATCGAAGAAACTAATTTCATTCCCTCCTTTCGAAGTGCTTCTTCTAGGTTGAACAAGCTGATTCTGAGTGGGAGTTTCTTTAGTTCTCTTACGTTGGGCATTAACCGTTGGTGGATTTATCATCGTTGGGTTAAGGTTTTGATTCTTAAGGGGAAGCCCATATTAATCGGAGTCAGTTCCCTTTGGATACTCCCTGCACCAGGCCCAGAAGGTAGATTACCTTAGTAAAGGACCTACTCCTTTGGACCGCACAAACGGGCACTTCAATCGATGGATCATGCCCAACATGTTGTGATTTTAGAACTTCTCTAGAACACTGAGTTGAATTAACCTCGTTAGAACATGTTGAAAAACTGGTTCGTGGTTATTATTACAATCCATTTCCCTAGCCGACAACAATGGTGGGCATCTAGAACCTACATAAGAATTGTTGTCAGAATCATCCTCTGGGTTGCCATTTTTCATTCCATTAGACAGCCACGATGCCACTCTGATTTGAGACTCCACCTAAGACGATTCGTTAGCCTCACCGTCCTGCAAAATCCGACCGCCATCCTGTTCCTCCTCCTCCGACTTTTCATTCCAGATATCGTTTGAGTTCTCTTCTGATTCCTTCTCCAAACAATCATTCAGCTTCTGGGAAGCCTCACCCATCTTAATTCTAACCTTGAACGATCTCCCATATGAACCTAGAGTGATTGACTTAGGAACATCGAAGGGACTAGCAACCCTCATCAACATCCTAGCAACCGATAGATCCTCTCTATGTTTAGTTGATTCCTGGATGCAAACCAGAGATCCTCGCCTTTTAGCTAACCTTTCTAAAAAAGACTCTTGCCAACAGAGTAGAGGGACACCGTATAATTCAATCGAACAGTAAGCCATTGGGATTCCATCTTCCATAACAAGGGGGCTCAGCTAGTCAAACCAATATGATAACTCAGTTTTCTTGTTATTCCATGTTTCTGTTAAGTCTTCAGCCGACGAGAAAGTGATTATTCAGGAGTTACTTGGATAGCCCCAGCTAGCAATCTTCACGTCGATTCCATCATTAAATATGGCCTTCTGTACAAAATTCATCTCCAAAAGAAGGCTTAATAATCCCTGAGAACTTCAACCACTTGGTCTCTTTGGATGACATATACATCTCCATTTGGTTCTCTCTCATTTACAGCTTGTGTCATCCCCATTCTGTTCTCCAAGGTTGTGGGTGTGACCCTCGATCTCTGATTAGTTACCAGTGCTTCTTTATAGGACCTATCATCTCTTATGCTTCTCGATATCATCTCTTGCTCCCTGTTCTTCCTCTTCTCATCTTCAGTTGGCTGTTTTGAAACTTCAGGTAACCTTTCAGTTTGGGCTTCTCCTCTACGAAACTTTTGATATTTTGCAGCCCCTACTGCTACTTTCTTCCTATCTATCCACGACTTGTTTACTTTCGCGATAGCATTGACTAGGTCCTTTTCGCGTGCAAATTTAAATAACGCGAAGGTGGAGGCTATATACCTTGGTTTGTTGTTGACTCTCGGGATGAAGACCCTGACAACCTTACCGTGATAGTCAAAGAGTTCCCATAGTGCTTTCCTTGATATTCTCCTGCTCAGATTATCCATAAAGCCGTTCATTCCTCGCCGGTGGAAGATGACCTTTTCAACTCAAAATATTTTCTTGGCAGCTTTATATATATGGAGAAGTGTCCTGTGTTATTTATTTTGGATTAAGTTACCTTTATGCTACATTAGTATGCTTCTATTTGTCTAGTTTATTTTCTCAAATAAGTGGTCCTTCTCAGGTTGCAGCCATTCCTAACTGTAGCATATTAGCAGCTGTTGGCCTGAAAATGGCTAGCACTCCTGGAGTCAGTGCAACTCTTTTCAATGCTCTGGCAAAGGTAGAAAGTTCCATACATATCCCTTCAGACAATACTTTTTTTTTCATATATGTTTGTATAATATTCGCATTAGTACTTACTCTTTCCTTTTTTTCCCATCTAATATCATAATACAGGCTAATATCAACATTCATGCCATAGCTAAAGGTTGTTCTGAGTACAATATCACAGTAGTTCTCAAGCGTGAAGATTGTATAAGGGCTTTACGAGCTGTGCATTCGAGGTTCTATCTTTCAAGAACAACCATAGCAATGGGGATAATTGGACCTGGATTGATTGGTGCGGCATTACTCTATCAGTTGAGAGATCAGGTGTAGTATCATAAGAAGTACTATTTATTTATTTTTCTTCTGTTGCTAACAAATATTTGTATTTTAGCATGCAACAAATTCTTTTTGTTACTTGTTCAATAAATACATTGTAGAAGTAAATCTTAAGATGCAGTAACATGCAAATAATTTATTCTACTTTATTATAACTATATTATTTCACATTTTTTGTGTAGTAGTTGGTCCTTGGGTTAACCTTTGCAAATATTCTTGTGATTCATCAGTCATTTTGAAAAATGCGGATGTAATAGAGTTGAGTCAGTCACAAGTTACTCAGCTGACTTTCCATTTGCTTTTACTTGAGTTGGCTTCTATCAACATTGAGTAACTGGAGTAGCTTGCATATAAAGTCAAGCCTGAGTATGAGAAATGAAATGCAATCAAGTTTTAGTCAAGTTCAAGTACTTTCCAGGCCATTTCAATTTGGTTTGTTTAGATCCCTAGTGAAATTAAACTACCGTTATATGCATCCATTGAAAGTCGGCTTTCTTTGAACAGAACAAGTCAATCGTAGGTGTCATAACCATTTTTAGGTAAAACAATTAAAATATTATTTAAAAACGATTATGACTTTTATTTTGGAAAATGGGGGAATTTGGAATTGATTTGGATGGAATTGAATAGAGTCGCCATCGACCTTTAGGTTAAGTAGGTCGAATACCTAAAAACGTCTTTCTAAAACAATTTTAAGAAAAATCATTTTTTAGGACGAAAACTGGTATGCGTTTACCAAAGATTCGATTTAAACGGGTTCGGGAGTCGATTACTCGTGGGGAAGGATTAACACCCCCACAACGCCCAACATTGGTACTGCGTCGCCTACACTTTGTCGTAAATAGTGGAAATAATGAATTCACATCGACAATTAAAATATGATTCATTTATCGAAATTAATTAATTTGCTTCGAATTATTTAATTGGGAAAAATTCTTTAACTTGAAAAGAAACTTCGAGATTAACAATCATCTATCGGGAAAGTTATCTCGTCTATTTCTTATCTGTAAAAAATATTTCCTCATCTATTAAAAAATACAAATTGAATATAAATTAAATACGAACAATTTGTATGAAATAAAATAAATTGTTATTTACAAAATTACTCATTGCATCATTTGAATTATAATAGAAACAAATTAATTAGTAAAACAGAAATTGATTTATTTCAAATTCCATTTAGTTCAAACGTCGTATTAGATTGTACCACTTCGATCAAGTGATACTTTCTACGCCCGTTCTAAAAATACGTTCTTGAAAATTTCGAATAACATATACTAGATAAAGAAATAAACAAGAATTTAAAGGACTGAAATAGCTGAAACATAAACTTAGGGATTAAAATAGAAATAGAAATCAAAAGGGCAAAATAAATAGTTAAACCAAAATGCATTCATAATATACATGATTAAACGAAAGAAAAATAGATTTCATGACCAATTTGGAACATTAATCGGATCATGTCAAATATTACAAGAAATATAATACATAACATAGTGACTAAAATATAATATTTACAAATGACATGGCCAGATTTAAATGTCAACAAAAATACACAACAAATCTACCAATGACTAAATAAAATAACTAAAAAGACTAAAGTAAACATACACAAACATGTCAAAATAACGAACTAGTGACTAAAACACAATTATTAGAAGATACATGTCTGAAACAGAACATTATGAATTTCATTTAATGATTAAACAAACAGATTACAAAATACAGGGGACCAAACGTGATATTTACCCTAAAAATATGAGAAACACGGGCTGAGTTTACAAAACCACAGGGATTAAAACTGATATTTACCCCTAAATAGAAAACACGGAAACCCTCCCCTTTGAAACGACGTCGCATGGTGTATGGGTTATATACCCACTTAAGGGTTATTTTAAAACCCTAAACTATTTTAAAGCCTCAGCCGTTCATACCCATTCTCTCCTCTCACTCTCTTCGCACCCCTCACCGCCAAGGAGAACGAAACCAAAACACCGGCCACCGTAGATTGGTGGCCACGGGGTTAAAAACTTGAGGATGGCCTATTCCTCTCTAATCTCTTCTAAAAAAACAACCCTTACCCACTCAAACCCGAAACTAAAACCCCCAAAATCAATACACCTTTTACCTTTGGTTAGGCTCTTCCTCTTCTCCGATGAGATCCACGACCACCAGGCGATGAAAGGTAAGATTTTTTCTATTTTCTTTCTGTCTCGTTCTCGGTTAGTTTTTTCTAAATCCCCCAATCCCCCCTTTTGGTTTGCTTGCATATGATTTTTAATGCTTTTCTGGTGAGATGATGAAGTCTAGAATAGCCCATGGCTTTTTCTGATTTTGTAAGATATAAATCCCGAATATTTAGGGATTTATTGGTATTTTAATTTAGGGTTTGGTTTTTGGTTGATTTGTGATTGATTTCTGTCTCTCTGCCATTGTTGCAGCAAAGTTATGGTCACTGTTGGTGCAGGGAAGGACAACGACGATGACAGCAATGGAAATCGGCGACGACAGTGGTAGAAAACCTACCTAGGGTTATGATGAAACCCTAGGTAGAATCGGGTCGGGTCAGTTGGGCGGCTCGGGTCGGATTACTTGAGCAGGTCTGGGCTTGTTGTAATGGGTTAGCTGATAGTGGGCTTGCATTGTATTGGGCTTTGGCCTGCAAAAATATGTAAAATGTAATATTAATAATAATATAATAATATTAATGAAATAATATTAATATAATAATAATTATTACTAATAAAAAAAGACCCGAACAAAAACGGGTGTCTACAACTGCCCCTCTTTGCACATTTTTGTGTTAACAAGAATAGGGCAAAGACGAAAAGACATCACGTTTTTGTCTGGTTCTCTCCCTTTCAAACTTAGAAATTGGATAAGGTTTATTGTTGGGGACGACATTGCTCATACGCGATGGAGAGTTTGGGTCGTCTAAGGGTGACTCGGTTCCTACGTGATGAGGAAATCTGGTCAGGGGATGACACTGCTCATACGTGATGAAGAGTTCTGGCCATCTTTAGGAATGGTGATAACTCGGTTCCTACGCGATGAGGACGACTGATTATCTATGGGTGACACGACTCCTACGTGATGAAGAGATCTGGTCAGGGGATGACATGGCTCATACGTGATGAAGAGTTCTGGTCATTTTTAGAAAGGGCGATAACACGGTTCCTACGTGATGAGGACGTCTGGTTATCTAGGGGTAACACGACTCCTATGCGATGAAGAGATCTGGTCAGGGGATGACACTTCTCCTACGTGATGAGGACGGCTGGTCATCTTTAGTGATTGTGGTTTCAAGGGAAACCGACTTAAAGATTTGTTTCAAAAGAAACAGACTCAAAGATTTGTTTCAAGAAAAACATACTCAAAGGTGATGTGTTTTAAAAGCAACTGTCTCGAAAGATGACGTTTAAAGGGAATTGTCTCAAGCGAGACAAAATTTGTTTTTTAAGGGAAATATTCTCAAAGATTGGTGTTTCATAGGAAACTGTCTCAAATGAGACAAAATTCGTTTCAAGTGAACCGATTTCAAAGATGTTTGTTTTGTTGCAATGGAAACAGACTCAAAGATGGTAAATATTTTTCCAAAGAAACAGACTCAAAGATTTTTCTCAAAGAAACTGTCTCGAGAGAAACAAAATTTTGTTTCCAAAGAAACAGATTCAATGATTTTTTTCAAAAGACATCGTCATAAGAGACAAAACTTTGTTTTTCAGAAACTTGTATCTTAGTGAGACAAAATTTTGTTTCCAAAGAAACAAACTCAAATATTTTCATTCAAAAGAAACTATTTTAAGGGAGAAAACCTTGTTTCCCAGAGAAACAAACTCAAAGATGTTCTTGTTTTAAGGGAAAAGGTTTCAAGAGACAAAATTTGTTTCAAGGGAAAACGACTCAAGATAGTTTATTTCAAGAGAAACAAACTCAAAGATTTTGTATTTTTAGAGAAACTACCTTAAGGGAGACAAAATTTGTTTTAATAGAAACGATCTCAAAGGTGGGTATTTTCAAAAGAATCAGTCTCGAGAGACAAAAGTTTGTTTCAAAGGAAACAAACTGAAAGATTTTTTCTCAAAAGAAATTGTCATTAAGATATAAAATTTTGTTTCAAAAGAAACAAACTCAAAGATGGATTACATCTTAAGTGAGACGAAATTTGTTTCAAAGGAAACAGTCTCAAATGTTGGTTTTTCATTAGAAACTGTCTCGAAAGAGACAAAATTTGTTTTAACAGAAATAGACTCAAATATGATTTTGTTAAAAGAAACAAACTCAAAGATTTTTTTTTCGAAAAACTGTCTCAAGAGAGACAAAACTTTGTTTCAAAAGAAAAATAATCAAAATTGGGTTTTGTTTCAAGGGAACATGCTCACAGATGTTTGTTTTAAGAGAAATGTCTCAAAAGAGACAAACCTTTGTTTTCATAAAAACGACTTAAAGATTTTTCTTCAAAAGGAACTGTCTCAAAAGAGACAAAATTTTGTTTCCAAAGAAACATACTCAAAGATTTTTTCATTTTGTTTTAAGTGAAACAAACTCAAAGATTTTTCAAGAAAATCTGTCTCAAGAGAGACAAAGTTTTGTTTCAAAAGAAATAGACTCAAAGCTCATTTGTTTCAAAAGAAATGACTCAAAGATGATGTTTGTTTCCAGTGAAACAAATTCATAATTTGGAAAATTGTCTCAAGTGAGACAACATTTGTTTTAGAGAAATTGTCTCAAACGACACAAAAATTGTTTTAGAGAAATTGTCTCAAGCGAGAAAACATTGTTTGAGAAAACGATCTCAAGTGAGATCAACTTTGTTTAATATGAAAACAAATTTGAAATTTGTATTCTCAAAGGAAAAATGTCTCAAACGAGACGAAATTTGTTTTGAAAAGAATAACAGTCTCAAGTGAGATTAATTTTTGTTTCAAGTGAATCAAATTCGAAATTTGTATATCAAAGGGAAAAATGTCTCAAGAAAGACGAAGTTTGTTTTAAGAAAATACGATCTCAAATGAGATCAACTTTGTTTAATATGAAACAAATTCAAATTTTCTATCTCAAAGGAAAAATGTCTCAAATGAGACGAAATTTGTTTTGAAAGAAATTGTCTCAAGCGAGACAAAATTTGTTTTTAGAAAAATCTCAAAATTTATGGAAAAATGTCTCATATGAGACTGAATTTTACTTCAATAAAAAAAACCCTCAATGCTGATAGATAGTCTTCTTGTTCCTGTATCTTGAGGAAATGTCTTGATTGTTGACTTCAAGAAGTCAAATCATTGCTTCTTTAAGTTAGAGATATCTGGTCATTTCTGAGCTTTGATTTCCTGAGAGATCAAAATGATGTATTTTTGACTGACTATCTTGGATGTTATGATGGATGCTAAGATGAAATTTATTTGATTTTTTTATTGAATTTGTCCTCAAGTGATGAGATAAATGTCTTTAATGCACATGATGATAAATGTTTGATACAACGATGCAAACTCATGTAATATGTATATATGTGTTGATGTATGTATGCATTGATATATGCTTTCTCGATTTGGAAGGAGAATAGTTGCGAGAGCAGTCTTCACTCTATCTTTGATTTATTTTGTCTTCATTTCCACCAGGTGTACTCTTACAAACCTCAAACTGAGAAAATTTGTTTTCCTTACCCCATCAAAATTTCCCTAAAAATTTGTCTTTTCTTGCCCCAGCTTCAATCTTGAGCTTTAGAGGGATCTTCGTTGAATTCCAATATATGCCTCCAGAGAGATTATCTTGTTTGGAAAACGTTTTTCTTCTTCTTGTATTTTCAAAAGTATGAAAATATCAATTAAAAGAGTTTTGAAAAATATTTAATCAAAAGTTTGAAAATATTGTCCCTTTTGAGGTTTCACAATTGACAACTCATAAAACAAGAGTTCATTGGATACAAAGAATTAATTACACTGTTAATCCTTAAATAAATTATAGCTATTTGACAAGTTTCAAGATCAATGCTATCTTTGAGAAATGGTTAAGTAAGGAAGTGATGAAAAAATGTCTCAGGTTATTGTCTTTGGTCAAAGGTATGGTGTTCTCATATATTTGATGTTCACTGGTCTGATGGAGTATCTTCTGTACTTATTTATTGGAAGTGTTCTCCGACTCCCAACTCTCATGTTCTCATTCATGTTGTGCGATGCCTCATCAAGGGAATTATGCGATCGCCTCATATGTAATAGTCTCCATATTCGAGCTGCCTTTTCAGGTTTTCAACTCGAATCCTCCTTTGGTTTCAAGACGTTACTTAGAATTTACGTCTTGAACCCCCTTTGTTATTTTTTCTCTATCATGCATTAAAGATTTTAGAAAACCTTTTGTAAATAAAAGATTAATCCCGATGAGCGGGATGAAATCTGAAGATAGTCTCTTCTGTTTAGAAATCCATGTATGATTAGAAGGGACTTTTAAGGCACGTAATGTAGGCCATGGTTCAGAGTTATGAAAGAAAGGGATAAAAGGCCCAAATAAGTGTTTAAGGGTAATTGAACCAAGGATCAATTAACTCTGATGCATTCGATCTTGTCTTGCTCAATTTGAATCTACTCGTATGTCTTCTCTTAATGTTCTATGATCTTCAAATGAAGTGATTCTGGAATGATTGTGCTTGATCAATCTCACAGTTTGAAGCTCGAAGAGTCACTTAAGTCGAGAGACTCTTTGTCTGTGCTCTTTGTCTATGCTCTTTGTCCTCTTTTTGTTCTTTGCTTTTACTTTGATTTTTTTCTCTTTGTTTTTCTTGTTTCCTCGTTTTGATTTGATCTTTGCACTCTGCATTTAGTTCACTTTTGGTATATCATCTGAATCAATGTCTTCACTCATGTGAGCAGACTTCCTCCATCTTGCCCCCCAGTGTGGAGGGTGATCATTGGTTAGGGTTGAATAAGAAGAAAACATAATTTAGGCTCAAAGGGGACACAAGGGATATATTTTCTCATTTTGTGAAGGGATAAAGAAAGAATGCCATTCATCATCTCATACACAGAAGTCCTTGCAGAAGATGTATCCCCAGGGGGATAGATTTTCAGGATTAATTTTTAGTTACATGAAAACAATGTAATTAATGCATTATATAATTATTTTGAAATAATTCTCTTATTATGCTTCTTGCTCTCAGCATGTCTCAATTGCTCGCTCGTCCTCAGAAGATCGCTTCGAGATGTCCCACATTGTTTCTTCTTCTAGGAAATTTCATGTTCAAGTGAACATCTTGTACTCAATGTCTGTAAGTCTTATTGGTAGAAAAAGTTGGTTTGACGTCTAAGAAGACAATGGTGTGAATTTATTAGCTCAACAAAATGCATGGGTATGGTTTGTGTATATCGAAAGGATATATACAATGTTTTAAATTTGAAAAGAATGTTTCAATGTCTCAAAGAGCGGGAATGTAAAAAAAAATTGATTCTTTGGTGGTAATAAGGAATTATTCTGGGTAAAAATTGAGATTTTATTTTGGGGTTGGACATGAAAAGAAAGGTATAATATTGTCATATGTCAAAAATCTACAATTCTTGAAGAATTAAAAGAATCCGTAATTCATTTGATATTCAAAGAAATCAAGATTAAAATTCGCTCAATTATTCAACCTTAGAAGGTAACATAAATTCAAATATTAAGATTTAAAAAATTTAAGCAAATATAAAAGACAGAACAAAAACGAGTTTAAACAAAACAATCTCCATGGATGTAAATGGTAGATGCAATGCCCCCATTCATCTTTGATTGTCCATGCCCCTGAGTAAATCAGGTTTTGGATCATGCGCTTCTGTGCCTTACAATTTCTCAGCAAAATGTTCGGGGCTTCGTATGTGGTAGTTGTACACGAGATCAACATCGTATACCTCAGTGAACGAGGAATCTTTTCTCGGATCATCTTGGAAGGTTCAGTCCTATAACCAGCCGAACAAGCTTCCACCGTATTAACTTCAGCTTCTTGCTTCTAATTTGTTCAAATCTTGCTTCGATTCTCAATGTCGTCACGTGATCAGGATCACGTCCATCGAATTCTCCATGAATTAGTTCCACGTTTTTATGAATAATGAAATGCATATGCAAAATGCAAAGATGCAAATGCAGATGCAAAAATGTTGATCCCAACGATGAATATCATAGAATAATTTTCTCCAGAAATAAAAGCCTTCACATTACAAGATAATCCACATTACAAACATGCCTTCGCTTAGATGTTGAGTCTGAAGTGGATCACTGCCTCGTCTCGGATCTTCGTCCTCGAAAATGATGCCCCTTAAGTGTTCTGTAGTCTAACTCCGTTACTGCCCCGACGGTGGTGAAGTCAATGCATCACTCCTTGATATTTACTGATGGAATATTCATAGATGAGAATCTACTGTTGAATTACTCTTTGGCTCAATAGATCGTCGTTTCAGTCTCGAATGTTGCATAATCTTTGAGCTCATTACTTCGTCTCGAATCTTTGTATTTGGAACTGATGCCCCTCAATGCTCTGTAAACTCACTTCGTTAATACCTCAGCAGTGCTGAAGCCATTGCGTCGCTCCTTGATGACTATCGATGATATGATTGTAGATAAAACTCCGCTATTGGATTATTCCTCAAATTAATGGATCATCATATCAATCTCGAATGATGCACAATCTTCGAACAAATCTCATTCTTGTACTCTGAAATCCTTTTAGTCTTTAATGCATGTCTATATATGAGACTGTTTGATTGAAAACTTTCATCTCTTCTTGAGAAAATTTTCTCTCGAATATTCCCTTGCGGATCAATACTTTTTCATTATGATGATGCAATGCAATGCAAAAAAAAAATGATGACAAAATGACACAAACAAAAGAGAAGAAATAAATTAGTGCACACAAACAAAAGAAATTAGTTAGTTCAGGTAAGACAATAGATATAGATAAAAATGTTATTTAAAGATGAATTTAACACCTACCCTGTCATGATATCTAGCCGAACATGCTTTCAATAGATAGTAATCCTACCCGGACATGCTTTCTACCCACAATGATTTTTCAAGAAATTAATCCTAATTGCATGGTATCTAGTTCGCATGCAATTATTTAACAAAATTTAAAGCAAAAAGGAAAGGTTTAGAAACACTCCTCCTTTGTGTATACCTAATTTGGGTACCTACTGACGGACAGAGGTTCGATATGACTATACCTAGGGTGACCGTTCTATGGTTCACTATATGCATGATTTAGGCTCTAACAAGAAAATGGGACTCGAATTGTCCCTAATATTAGTGCCCCCTTGGGCTGCCAGACCCTCGATCCTCACCCATTACAGGTTTCAAACGGAACGAGTTCAATTCGAGGGGATTCACTGCCTTATACCCATACGAGGAATAAATCCCTACGAAGGTATAAGGTATGTATCCCATGGGTTAATTGCTAAAACTCATACGAAGAATAAATTCTTACGAGAGTAAAGCAATCACCCTAACTAATTTGGATCAAAGCTCGTGTCTAGAGCTTATGTTATGCAAATGTATGTGATGTGTGTGAGGAGGAGCATACCTACCATTGACTCAAAACGAAAAAGATATAAAACTCAACAAAAACTTGGATCGATCCCTGAAAACAAAAATTCAAACATTAGTATGACAGTTAAAAAATGAAGCAATTAAAAATTTCAATAAACATATCATAAATTAACTAAAGACTCAAACTCATAATTTCGACCACAACGACAATGTGTAAGTGACTTTACAGTTTGACTCTCATAAAAAAAGGTTCCCAGCAGAGTCACCAAGCTGTCATAACCATTTTTACGTAAAACAATTAAAATATTATTTAAAAACGATTATGACTTTTATTTTGGAAAATGGGGGAATTTGGAATTGATTTGGATGGAATTAAATAGAGTCGCCATCGAACTTTAGGTTAGGTAGGTCGAATACCTAAAAACGCCTTTCTAAAACAGTTTTAAGAAAAATCATTTTTTAGGACGAAAACTGGTATGCGTTTACCAAAGATTCGATTTAAACGGGTTCGGGAGTCGATTACGCATGGGGAAGGATTAACACCCCCACAACGCCCAAAATTGGTACTGCGTCGCCTATACTTTGTCGTAAATAGTGGAAATAATGAATTCACATCGACAATTAAAATATGATTCATTTATCGAAATTAATTAATTTGCTTCGAATTATTTAATTGGGAAAAATTCTTTAACTTGAAAAGAAACTTCGAGATTAACAATCCTCCATCGGGAAAGTTATCTCTTCTATTTCTTATCTGTAAAAAATATTTCCTCATCTATTAAAAAATACAAATTGAATATAAAATAAATATGGACAATTTGTATGAAATAAAATAAATTGTTATTTACAAAATTACTCATTGCATCATTTGAATTATAATAGAAACAAATTAATTAGTAAAACAGAAATTGATTTATTTCAAATTCCATTTAGTTCAAACGTCGTATTAGATTGTACCACTTCGATCAAGTGATACTTTCTACGCCCGTTCTAAAAATACGTTCTTGAAAATTTCGAATAATATATACTAGATAAAGAAACATAATGGAAATAAATATAAATAAAAATATACGAAATAAAACATACACAACAAATAAAGTTAAACATATTTATTTACATATGATATAAATAATACATAACATAAAGATATGTACATATATGAAGGATTAACATAAATACAAATGAATAATACGATCACTAAATAAAATGATATAAAAAAGTAAATATTTAATTACAAGGACCAAAATAGCAAAAATAAAATTTCAAAGGACCCAAAATAATTTAAACAAGAATTTAAAGGACTGAAATAGCTGAAACATAAACTTAGGGATTAAAATAGATAAAACAGAAATCAAAAGGGCAAAATAAATAGTTAAACCAAAATGCATTCATAATATACAATGATTAAAACGAAAGAAAAATAGATTTCATGACCAGTTTGGAACATTAATGAAAATAATATATCACAGGGTCAGTGATTAGAATGAAACATTTATAAACATCGGGATCAATGTCAAATATTTACAAGAAATGTATAATACATAACACAGTGACTAAAATATAATATTTACAAATGACATGGCTCGATTTAAATGTCAACAAAAAAACACAACACAATCTACCAATGACTAAAATAAAATAACTAAAAACATTGAGACTAAAGTAAACATACACAAACATGTCAAAATAACATTATGAAAATACATGTCTGAAACAGAACATTATGAATTTCATTTAATGATTAAACAAATAGATATTTACCCCTAAAAATATTTACCCTAAAAATATGAGAAACACGGGCTGAGTTTACAAAACCACAGGGATTAAAACTGATATTTACCCCTAAATAGAAAACACGGAAACCCTCCCCTTTGAAACGACGTCGCATGGTGTATGGGTTATATACCCACTTAAGGGTTATTTTAAAACCCTAAACCATTTTAAAGCCTCAGCCGTTCATACCCATTCTCTCCTCTCACTCTCTTCGCACCCCTCACCGTCGAGGAGAACGAAACCAAAACCCCGGCCACCGTAGATTGGTGGCTACGGGTTTAAACACTTGAGGATGGCCTATTCCTCTCTAATCTCTTCTAAAAAAACAACCCTTACCCACTCAAACCCGAAACTAAAACCCCAAAATCAATACACCTTTTACCTTTGGTTAGGCTCTTCCTCTTCTCGGATGAGATCCACGACCACCAGGCGATGAAAGGTAAGATTTTTTCTATTTTCTTTCTGTATCGTTCTCGGTTATTTTTTTCTAAATCCCCCAATCCCCCCTTGGTTTGCTTGCATATGATTTTTAATGCTTTTCTGGTGAGATGATGAAGTCTAGAATAGCCCATGGCTTTTTCTGATTTTGAAAGATATAAATCACGAATATTTAGGGATTTATTGGTATTTTAATTTGGGGTTTGGTTTTTGGTTGATTTGTGATTGATTTCTGTCTCTCTGTCATTGTTGCAGCAGAGTTATGGTCACTGTTGGTGCAGGGAAGGACAACGGCGATGGCAGCAATGGAAATCGGCGACGGCAGTGGCAGAAAACCTACCTAGGGTTATGATGAAACCCTAGGTAGAATCGGGTCGGGTCAGTTGGGCGGCTCGGGTCGGATTACTTGAGCAGGTCTGGGCTTGTTGTAATGGGTTAGCTGATAGTGGGCTTGTATTGTATTGGGCTTTGGCCTGCAAAAATATGTAAAATGTAATATTAATAATAATATAATAATATTAATGAAATAATATTAATATAATAATAATTATTACTAATAAAAAAAGACCCGGACAAAAACGGGTGTCTACAGTAGGGATCTGTAGGTTTGCTCTGGTGGCAGCAGTATTGGCTAGGGATGAAATTTTCGTCATTTCTGAACTTATTGAACCCAAATGAATGGTTGAACTTTTTTTTGGGCAGGTAGCAGTCCTCAAGGAAGAATTTAATATTGATTTTCATGTTATGGGGATTACTGGATCAAGGACAATGCTTTTAAGTGATGTGTAAGTCTTGAGCATTCATAGAAATAGTCCTACGTTAAGATATATTTTTAAAATGATATTTAGGAAGAAACCATTGTGTTCACTCTTGTTACAAAATTAAAATTTTAAAAATAAATAGAACTGCTATTATCATTGTATAAAAGTTTATGGGTAATATACGTGCCTTTATGTTCTTTAGTGTCTGTTTGGAGTAAATTAATTCCATCAAATGTTCTGCAATCGTTTCTGTTCCATTGATTTGAAGCATATCAAATTATCGATGGAAATGAATTCTATAAAATTGTGGTATTCAATTTTCTTGAAAAGCATTCTTTAGTGTGATTTGGGTATTGTATTGAACTAGAAAATTTCTTTGAATAAAATGCTGAACTCTAAAGAGCGTATGTATCATTATTCTTCTCAACTTGCACTACAATGAGACTATATGCCTCCTTTGACCTATAGTTGTTGGTTTGACTTGTGAAGAATTTAATTTGGTTCGTCTTTAAATATTTCTTACGAATACTTCTTACGAATACAAAGAGATTTCTTGGAAGTTAGAGATAACCTAAAATTAATCATTTAATTTGATAGGGCTGCTCCCTTTCCCCACTAATGTAGACACTAATTTTTTCATATTATTATTATTATTATTATTATTATTATTATTATTATTATATAAATAATTTTATTTACATTTTAGGCCCAAAACCAAGGTCTAATTTTACAACAACCCACCAGGCCCTAAAAACCCTATCCCTTCTAGGGTTTCCTGAAGATTCCATCCACCTTAGCCAACTATTCATCTTTTACAGTCACCTCCATGCCGACGCTCCACTGCTAGGTGCTCCACTCCGACAATGCCACCACGCCGTCGCCTCGCTGAAGACTCCAGAAGCGCCACGAAGCCACCCACGTCGAAGCTATATGGTGAGTCACCACATAGTTCGGTGACTCATCGAACTTCACCCATGGGACCAGTCCGAGAGCCACACCGTTAATGGCTATAAAAGCCATTGACCACACCTACAAACAGAGGACAATAGAGGAAGAGCAACACAATGACAGCAAGCCAACATCGACGAACACCAACAACAAGCAACAAAACCAAAGGAAAGAAAAAGGAGAAAAGAAGAGGAACTTACCCTTGAAGCTTCGATCATCGCCAGAAGCACCAAAACGTCGCCGAGAATTTTTTTTTGAAGGTAAAAAATTTGTAGATCTATGGAATTAGGGGATGTTTTGGGTAAAAACAAGGCTAGATTTAGGAAGAGGGAGAAACGGGCTTCGATCTGGGTAAAAATGTAATTTTCGTCCACCATTCATGGTGGCCGGCGGGGGCTGCTGTCGCCAGAGCACGACGATCGATCGGTGCCTGGGTTCCCTCCGGGCAGAGATTTTAGGGGAGAGATGAGAGAAAAAATATTCTCTGATAGAGAATAAAAAGAAGAAAAATGAGAGAAATGGCTCAAGGGAGCCGGTTTAAAGGGTATTAATACCCTCATCAAAACGAAACGACACCGTTTTGATGAGGGCTTCGGTGTAATTTCCCATATGGGAAAACCATACGCGTTTTACCCTGATTTGGTAAACTTCTATTTTAGTCACTAAATTAAGTTTTCGAGCATTTTAATTTTGTTCCCGAATTTTATTTTATTATAATTTAGTCATTACCATGCTTATATAATATTTAGGGTAAATAATATATTTAGCCCTTCTAATTTTATTAACTTTTATTTTAATCCCTAATAATGTATTATGGTAAAATTACACTGTTAATAATTATATTTTATAATATTTCGAATTATGTACATTAATTTAAATAATTTATATTTTAATACTATAAGTTTTTAATTCATTTTATTTTGGTCATTTTATTGCAATTTTATTTCTATTTTTTTATTATGTTTAAATTAGTATTTTATTTTAATTATTATTTTAGTCATGCTAATATATATATATATATATATATTATGAAAGATTTGTAAATATTATTTAATAAATTTCACAAATTAATAGTATTTATTTATTATTTAAATATCAAAGAAATGACAGTCTTAATATAACTAGATGTCCTATTATGATATTTTAAAATAAATAAATATCTTGCTTATAAAAACCAGAATATATATATATTGTTTTATTTAAATTATTTTTTAGGAAAAATTATCACATTTTCAATATTTATTTATTTTTTTAATATTAAGAAATAGCGGTCTTAAAAAAACTAGACGTCCTATTCTGATACTTTAAAAAATAAATAAATATCCTGCTTATAAATGTATATATATTTGCTTAGTTTTTATTATTATTATATTCTTATTAATATTTATTTATTTATTAATATTAAAGAAAAGACAGTATTAAAGCAACTAGATGTCCTTTTCTGATATTTTTAAATAAATAAATATCCTATTTACAAAACCCTAAATATATATATATATATATATATATATATATATATATATATATAATGTTTTTTCCTTAGAAGTATCAGATTAAATTTGAAATAAAAAGATTATGAATTAAATATATTTTTGAATTCTTAAATTTCTAATAATAGAAACAATTTATAATTAATGGATACCAATTTTGGGCGTTATAGGGGTGCTAATCCTTCCCTAAACGTAACTGATCACGAATTTTTTTTTACTAAAACTTTTTGGTTATACGCAAATCAGTTTATCTTTTAAATTATGTTTTTTAAAAAACTATTTTAAAAGATCGTTTTTAGGTATTTGGCCTACCTAACCCAAAAAGGTCAATGGCGACTCCCAAGACATTTTTTTTAAATCAAAATCATTTATTTATTTATTTTATTTTTCCCGCCAAGTAAAAATTCGTACCCGGACAAAAACCAGTTACGACAACTTGACGACTCCGCTGGGGGCTGGTCAAACCTAAGTGGATTATATATTGTCTCTATAATTAGAAATTGAGAATCCAATTTTATTTAATTTATGATTCTTTTTATTTCTTTTAATTTATTTTATACCCTTGTATATTTATGTTTGTATTTTTAGATATTAATTTTTGTGTGAAAATTTCTTCTCACACACAATACTTGCATTGCATAACATAAGCTCTATACCCGAGCTTTTTTCCCTTTTAAGTGGGAGTGAAAGCGACGTCTTTGTGAGAATTTATTCTCCGCGTCAGACCTAGCAAGTAACTTTCGGGGTTCATATATCCTATGTCTTCGTGAGAATTTATTCTCCGTTTCAGGCATAGGGAAACATGTCCCCTCGAATTGAACTTGATCTGCTTTAGTCTGTAATGGACTAAGATTGAGGGTTTGGCAGCCCAATGGGGCACCAATAAGGAAAGTTCGAGTACCTTTACTCCTAGAACTGAAACCCTGCATATAATAAACCCTATAAATTCTTCTGATCTAAGACAATACTAAAACCCTATCTGTAGGTATACACAAAGGAGAAATAAACTATAGCTTTCAATTTATTTGATTTTATTTTCTTTTTTCTGAATAAATGCATGCAAACTAGTAATCATGCGGTTAGATTAATTTTTCCAAACAAAGCATGGAACTAGAAAGCATGAGGTTAGGATTTATTTATATACCATGATAAATAATAATCTTTTCTTTCTATTAATTGGTACTAACCATTTTATTTTTTATTTTATTTTATTTTTTTATGCATTTTATTTTGCTCTAATTTGTTTATATTAATTTCTTGTTCTTGCATTGCATGATCATGGCATGACCAGAAGGTGATAACTTAAAAGACTGTTCATAAAATTGGAAAGTTTTCATAAATGGACAAAAAGTTTTATGATCAAACAAAATATGACGTAGCCAAGGAATTGCATCCTGAGGGAACTCCGAGGATAGAGGTGAGCTATGCACCCAAAGATTGTATGCTTGTTGAGGAGAAAAAGGAGATACAAGAAATAATAGAACATATGTCCAAGATGATGGGTAGAATATTTGTTTTGGCCAAAGGAAAATAGATTCATGCGCAAAAAGAGAGAGAGCTCAATGAAGATAATCCTGCAATTTTAGATATGCAAGGAACTTCGGATCTTAAATAATTTGAGAAATTATAGACAGTCATCATTCGTATTCACAAACTGTCTGGTGATGCCAAAGAAATGGTGATAACTGTAAAAGCTCCTAGAGATGAGAAAAAATCATGTAATCTGAAATCGTCGACGTTTAGTCTTCTCCCGACGTCTAAAAATCAGGTTCAATCCTAGACAAAAGGCGGTTCTCATTTTGATGCTATCCCTATATCATATATAAAGAGTTATATTAAAAGCTACTTGAAGCGCGAGAAGTGGCTCAGTACTACATAAAACGGTTCCAACATCCGTATCCGAATTGGTATGACATCAACGTTTATTGTGAATATCATGCCGGAGCTCAAGGACATACCATTAAGAATTATCTTTCCTTCAAACGTCAAGTCCAAAGTCTTTTGGATCATGGAACCTTACAATTTATGATAAATGATCGATCTAGTTTGGTAACTGAAGGTCCTGCTAGATTGATACCAAAAGTGGTCAAAGGTAAGAATATCAGTAGGGGCGCCCAAAAAGAAGAAGATTTGTTGAGGTCTGAAGCTCAAATACATCATTTAAAGATTGAAAAAGATAAATTGAGCACCAAAATGGAAACCATACATGAAGATTTCCAGAAGGTCAGTCAAGCCTTTCAAAATACTGGCATAGGAAATACCCCAGAAGAGTGGATAACAAGGGTCACTAAACTGAAAAAGAACTATAACATACATGAAGGTCGAGCCAAGAAGTTTTCTCATGATTTAAGAGTTGCATAAGAAAGACTCAATACAACTGTCATTGAATCGAGAAAATATCAAGCCAAAAATCTAATGTTAAATAGTGCTATGACCAACATGAAAGCATCATATCAGATACATCAGCATAAGATTTATACTGAATTAGAAGTCACTAAGACTAGAAACAAGACATTGATGAAATGTTCAGATGAGTATAGAGATCTTATACAAGAACTTCT